GCTTGATCACTTTTTTAAAATAAGAAAATTCCATAGTGTTTAGGGACGAAGGCAGAATCTTACCTATTCCAGGCAAATTCTCTATCACTCCACTAAAATCAACTTTCATTCATTTTTTTAAAATAGATTTTCTTTTTCTTTTTCTACGTTAACCTTTGTGTAAGTAATCATATAGTATATCTCGCTTGGTTGCTCTAAAAGGTGAAGAAGCAGGGGACATAGAGAGCTAGTGGGTGAAATTTGGTCTGAGAATATGTTGAATTTTTCCAGCCACTTTATAAAAAATATTTTAGTCAGAGTCTCATGTAGTATACACTGGCCTGGAAGTAATTTTGTAGCCAAGGATGATCTTGAACTTCTGATCTGCCTGTCTGTACTTCTCAAATCCTGGGATTAAAATCATGTCCTACCAATCCAAGTTTATAGCATGCTAAATATTAAACCCAGGGCTCCACTCTACCAACTGAGCCATATTCGCCTTTCTATCCAAACAAACTTGTCCCAGTTATGAACTAGTTGCTCACTTTGAAAATCAGAAGAATTCAAATAGAGGTCTTTTATTTCCTTGGGAAAATGCACAGTTCTTGGAATAGCTTCTGGGAATGCTGATGGGGAAGAATTCTCACACAGTATGGGTTCTATAGAGGGACATAGTTGATAGTTAATTGCTCTGAAGGTCTAGAAAGAGGAGCTGCTGCTACTCCTGCTTGGGATTTTCCAGGCAGGCCATCCCATGTGAAATCTGAAGGATGAATCTGAGAGGATTGTCCATGGAATGGAGAAGAATGACAGTGTTTTCATAAGACCAATCCAGTAAGGGTACAATGAATCCATGACAGAAAAGAGGACATGTTCTTGTTGGCTCACGCCAACAACTTGAACTAGGGAAGGAATCACTTTTCTCCTCATGTTTGCATTTGACAGTGGGAGAGCTGACCAATTGGTCAAAGGACCTGATTTAACTTATTCTCTTTGCTTGGAGGACAACACAGTGTGTTCTTTATTCCTTGTGCATAAATGTCCCACCTCCACTAGATGAGAGACCCCTCATCTGGGAAAACCAGGATTGCTATAAGTGCATTCCATCTAAGCCAGCCTTGGTTTATACATCTTCCCTCTCCTTAGAACTAACATTATCTGGCACACGGTATGAGCTCCAGGCTCAGTTATTGATATGAAGCAAGGATAGTTCTACAGAATCTGGGGAAGTCAAACATTTGCCACTGACCCTAAATGAGACCCAGAGCACTGTCTTTTCTGACTAGTCATATGGGGTGGTAACAGAGGTCTTAGATTTCAATCTTGGTGGATCAGCTACTCAGAGAGCTCTGTGGCTTTGATAAGCTACATAACCTGTCTGAGACGTGGTTTCCTTGCCTCTTTTTAAAACAAAACACAAAGACTTCACCATGATACCGTGTCTCCTAGGAATATCAGAAACTAGACCCATAATCCTCTACCTGTGCTCATGCAGGCATCCTTAATTGAATGCAGTGTGACACACACACACACACACACACACACACACACACACACACACACACCATGCCACAAGAGACACGAAAGTAGGAGAGGAACTTGCTAAGAACAAGAGGTTCAGTAGTAGGGGAATTCAATAAAAGGGGATACTCTCAAAGTGTGTGTGTGTCGTTGTAAACAGATGAACTTAAACAATGACACCAAATTCAAAATGTCCTTTGTGTTTGAAGGGATGCTAGGAGTTGGATCAGGGCCTTGGGTACATTAAGTTTATGGTTTTTTCACTTAGTTATATCCTACGCCCTTAGAGACACCTCCTTTTTTTTTTTTTTTTTTTTTTTTTTACAGGTATGGGGGTCTACCTGGAAGCATCTTGCAAATTGTAAGGTACTATAGGATAACATTATGGTATGTCTGTGTAATGGAATAGTACTCATCCTTAAAAAGGAAGGAAATGCTGAAATATGTTACCATATCTATGGATCTTAAGAACTTGATGCTAAATGAAAGTAGCCAGACATAAGTCCCCACACTGTCAAATTCTATACAAAATGTCCAGCCTATGTAAAACCCTAGAAACAGGAAGCTGATTTGGTGGCTTTTAGGGGCTGAAGTGGTAAAATGGAGTACTAATGAGTATGTAGATTGTTTCGGTGATGACAAAATGTTCGGGAACTGGCTATGGTGATGATTGAATAGTGTTAGATTGTTTTAACTGTCACTGGGTTGTGTATTTTATTTGTGTTGCATGTGCATCTTGTGTGTTTGCATGTGTGCAGATGCATGTGGAGGTTAGAGGTCAACATTGGGTGTTAGTCCTCAGGAGCTTTGCTTTGTGACTTAAGATCTTTAACTAGGGCCTAGAGCTCAGAGCTCAACATTTTACACAGTCTGGCCTGCCAATGAGTCACACATACTCTATAGCACTGGTATTACAAATGTGTGGAATTTTGTTTTTGAGACAGGGTTTTTCTGTGTAGCCTTGGCTATCCTGGAACTTGCTTTGTAGACCAGGCTGGCCTCAAACTCTGAGAGATCCGTAATAATAATAGTGAAAACCAAACTAAACTGAAGGCATGTGAAGTTTAACAGTTTGAAACAGTTTGTACATTCCTCTGGGTGTAGGTGTGTCACCAGCCTCCTCTGGAGAGCTGAGGTGGGGGAAGGGAGAAGCGCAGGAGTGAGGGCCATCTGAAAAGCTTCCTTCTGGGTGATATTTGTTTCATAGATTGCCAGTTGTTCACCCTGTTTGTATTTCAATGAAAGGAGGCTTTGAAATGGGAGCGGCTGCTGAGCAGGGCTTGGGGTTCCTGCCTTCCTTGGTAAAGTTCAGACTTGTCCAGATCTGCCTATAGCCAGAGGTTACCTTTTCTGGTTAACAATACACTAAGAGGAAGAGCATCAGTGACTTTAGAGGGGCAAAAAAAAAATGAGTTTTTCTTGATGTGAGAGGGAGTGTTCCAATCCAACCCTATTATAGTTTAGGAAAATCCCCTTTTCTCTAATTGTTACTGAATTATATCTTATTTTATTTCGAAAGAGGGTCATGTGTAGCCCTGTCTATCGGCAAGTTCCTTATGCCCCTGATGCTGGTCTAGGATTCTTGATCTTCTGGCCTACACCTTCTGAGATTATAGGTGTGCACCATATATCTAGTTTGGAATTTCATTTTACTATTAATGTTGGTTGCATCTCAGATAATATTTCCCTTGGTGAAGAATAGCTTTAAGTATTCATCAATGAAAGTTAAAGTGCCCAGAGGACCTGACCTCATGGTTAACAGTTTAAGATTAGTTGGACTGTTCAAAAGTTCCTTGAAGATGACAGGAAATTCAATGGAGTTGAGTTTGCATAATTAAAATGTGTTGCCAAACCTCAAAAACTGGAATCCCCGGCTGGGTGTGTTGGTACAGGCCTTTGATCCCAGCACTCAGGAGGCAGAGGCAGGTGGATCTCTGAGTTCAAGGCCAGCCTGGTCTACAGAGTGAGTTCCAGGACAGCCAAGGCTACATGGAGAAAACGTGTCACAAACAAACAGAAATCAGAAGTTCCAGTTACAGACAGGTCACAGTGTGTCAGTTCATGCTACTGGTCTACTTGAGTTACTATAATGAAGAGGAGTCTGCAGTGGGCCTTCAAAAGAGTGCTACTGGTTTGTATGGCCCCTCATGGCTAACCTTGTGAACACAGCTTCCAAACAACAGTGGAGGAAGTCTCCACAAACCCTCTGAGGGCGATAATTGTAATGATGGTTCATATCTTCACCCTATGTAATTTTATGGGAATTGAGAGTCTAGCCAAATAATAAGCTCCAGCCCTTTTCATCTGCCCATTTCCCAGCACACTCCCGAGGTGTCTGAGGCACTTCTCACCCTATCCTCTTAAAGCAGATTGTAACAATAACAACAGTAATGACAAGTTCACAATCTGCATGGTTCCCTTCATTAAAGGAGCTCTGGGAGCTTCAAAAACACTCATTAATGGAATCTGACAAAGCTTGGAAGGTGAGAAGACTCACCCATTTCCCAGTTTTCTTGTGGCTAAATGCAAACCAAGAAGGATTGGAGATCCTGGGCTGTCAATCCCTGTGACTACCATGGTCCCCCATTCAAGAGCCCCTGGGCTTTCGACCCATTGCCCTTAGGTGGGTGCTAATTATTAGTGTTTTCTTTCTCTCCTCAGTTTTTATAACTACACAGGGCAGTGTGGGGCCAAAAGTTCTCACAAGCAACCTTGATTTAGCTCCATCTACTTGAGGTTTAGTTATTTTTCTGGCCAGTTTCAGAGTTTGTTGATTTTTTTTTTGTTTGTTTGTTTGTTTTCAGAATATATGGTGTGAATGGGAGTTGAACACTGTGGGGATGAAGGGGGCTGAGAAAACGATGGCTAGTTTTAGGGACAAGCTTCTGCTCATTAATGAATGAATCAGGTCGAGGAAGGCCAGGTGAGCCTCTCAAGCCAGCTCTGAGTTCACTCCACCGTTTGGATCAAAACAATGCCATGAGTGGGTGCCCTCCTGGTCCAGGTACTAGTTAGAATTGGTACTGGATGCTGGGTGGCAGGAGAGAGGCAGGTATTGGCGCTGGAGGGCTAGGTGTTGCTTTGGCTCACCGAGGGGGACAACCTGTCAGGTGGTTGTGGGGAAAGGCTTTTGACACAAGGCCCCCATACCCAGGCCACCAGGATCTCTGGGACTTAGGTCCTTAAGCTGGAAGAAATTGCTGTTTTCTCTTTTGGCAGGGGTGGGGTGGGGGGTGGCAGGGGACAGGTTCCCCGCCTCTGAGGAGGAGGGCAGGAGGGAGGAGTCCAGTAGGGCGTGTCAAGGGAAGGAGAGCCGCGCGCCCCGTGCGGGCCCCCTAGGAAGTGGATTTGGCCAGCTCCAGATCCAACCCAGCTTCCAGGTTTTCTCCCGGCCCGGCCCTGCGTGCTCCCGCCTGTCTCGGGCTTGCACACCCCTCCCCGTGCCCGCCCCCTCCCTCCCTAGGGCCGCCCCGCTTGGCCAAGTTTGCGGAGCTTCGCTATGCTAGCCGGGCCAGTCAATCAGCGGCAGAGCTAAGAAGGGCACAACCGTGCAGCCGAGGGCAGTGAGCAGAGCCGAGCTGGGTGAGCGGAGCAGGGCTGGGTAGCCGGAGCCCCGCGCCAGCGATCGCCCGCCGAAGCCGCCCACACTCTGCTCTTCTGCGACGCCTGCCACCTTCCCTTCTTTCCCCGAGCCCCTCCGTCCCTAGCCAGCTGGCCTGGGATCTCTAGCCTTCAGAGCCCTGAGGTCACAGATCCTCACCCTAGCTCCCTTGGGTCCCGCACCCATTCCACGCCTTTTTCCTTGTACCGAACCCCGGCCAGGAGCCTGGCACCTGGGACCGTTGCCTGACGCGAGGCCCAGCTTCACTTTTCGCCCGCGTCTCCTCCTCTAGCCCTCCTCGTCACTACCAACTCCAACTCCTTGGTTCTCGCCCCACTCGCGAGTCCTAGACTCCGCGCCTCTTCGCCTGCTCTGCAGCACTGCTTCCCGACCGTTCTCATTCTGTCCCCTAAAGGTGGGAGCGCGTTCGCCCGGGTCTGCACCATGGCACGGTTAAGCTTGCTTGCGCTTCTCTGCACCCTGGCCGCTCTCTGCGCCTCGCTGCTGGCTGCGGAGCTCAAGTCGAAAAGTTGCTCCGAAGTGCGACGTCTCTACGTGTCCAAAGGCTTCAACAAGAACGATGCCCCCCTCTATGAGATCAATGGTAGGTGGGAATCCTCTCTTCGATACCGAGCGGTGGGCACTCTGGAAAAGGGGCGGCCCTCCACGCCACACCAGGTAGCCGAGAGGGAGAAACAGGCTGGAGCGAGCCAGCTCCGGCGCGGAGCGGGTGCAGCGAGTGGAGGGGGCGCCGCCGGTTTGCCCGGTGCCACTCCAGTACTGCTGCTCCCCCACTCCACCCCACCCCAATTCTTCTCAGTCTTGGACAGCAACTAAGGACTCTGGTCCCCAAAGTGTGTGGCATGGGTTCTCTCGCCCTTTCCGGGTTGAATTCCTTACTGGGTTCCCCGCTTTGTTGTGTGGGTGACGACGAGGCCGAGTGGGGGCGGGGTGGGGAACCTTCTGGAGTTTGCAGATTGCTAGGGTGGCAAAATACGCGACTTGAATGAGTGTTTCATTGACGTTCTCCTAATACCCCTCTCCCCACTTTCCACGGCTGACACGGATTAGTTTTTGGGAGCTGCAAGGGCTTTAGAAGTCACCTTTAAAAAGCGAACGCTTTTACTTACTCCCCACTTCTAAATCCCGACTTTTGGGAAGTCTCCAGCTTTCCGGAAGGTGTTGAATAAAAAGGGTATTTCCCTTCCTTTCCTCTTTTCTCACCTCATTTTAAGGGTTAATTGCACTTTCAGTTACAGACCTTTGAAAGGACTGATTACAGGAAACCTGAATTTCAGTTTGAAGATGGTTATGCAAATGAAGATGACTTTGCCTCTGAAAAAGTTCAGCGGATTTCGGCGCTGGGGGTGTGTGTGTGGGGTGGGGGGTGTGTGCGTAGGGTATTTGTGGAAGCCCTCGAGGAGCGCTTGGGGAGGCAGCAGTACGGGCATTCCCCCCCCTCCCCCCGTGGTTGCGAGGTCTCCAGGCCCGCTGGTGGCAGCGCCTGGGAGAGTCCTCCTTAGTTAGCCCTGTTGTACTCGGTTTTCGATGCCGCCAACTGTTGCGCACAGAACTGCAGGCTGGCGCCTGAAGCGGCACAGGTAGCTTGTTCACCCTGGGGGCTCAGAAAGAGCCAGGAATCTAGCTGGCTGTTGGCCAGTTTAACCTAACGGAGGAGTTAGAGATTAGAGCCCCGAAGGCCAAACCTCCATTCCGAACCTTTCATGGAAGTGTGCAGAGTGCGCCTTTGCCTCGCGGTGCTGGTTGCCCGGGTGGGGCAGGCAGGGGGCCAGCAGCCAGCAAAGGAAATATTGTAATTTTAACCAGGCTTTTCCAAAGGCTTAGGAAGACTTGGGGGTCATCTTTTGGAAGGACTATTAATAACCTTGGAGATTAAGTGTAGTCATCAATTACATATAAATTACAAAAGTGATTGAGGGGAGTTGCTGGGCACTTTCAGAATGTAACCAGCCTCTGTCTAGAAATAGAACTGAAGAAATTGTTGGTAGTAGCCCAGGCGTCCACTGCACCTTGGCAGTTGTCAAGTAACTCACATGCTATTGATGAAAGGCTGCTTGCCCTTCAACTGCCTGTCTTTTTGGGAGCTCAAGTATGTCCTCCCAGCCTCATGATTTTATTGGTTGTAGAGTTCTGAAAAGCCCCCTTTCTTTTCCTTCTTCCTCCTGCCCTGCCAGTAAAAGAGAACTGAACTAGCAGTCGCTGAAGCCTGGGGGCTCTGCAGGTCAGACCTGTGGTCTTTGTGCCCTGCACAGTTTGGGCCTGGGTGCTTCAGAGATGATTGGTGTGAAGGTTACACTTGTCACTCCCACGTTCTGAAGGGAGGCATGCAGCTATACACTTAATAGGAAAGTGACAAGTTTCCATCTGCTCATGCAAACAATATGAGCCTTTGAGATGGACTAAAGGCATTTCAGGAGTGGGCTATGAAATTGCCCTCTCCAGTTTCTTCAGGTTTATGGTGGTCAGTATCTACAGATGGCAGGGCATCTTCCCTAGCCAGCAGCTACTGGGAAAAAAAAGTTGGAAAGGTGGTCAGGGATGCTGGGTGTTCCCTTGGATTGTCATCAGCACTGGCAGACACCTGAGGTACATCTTTGCATAAATGTCTATCTGGACACCCCTCCCCCCAAAAAAGATAGGGAGTTATTAGTGACCAGCAGCAGGAAATGGCAACTAATGTGCTCACACCCAAAACATTTTATTCTTTTTGTCTTGTCCTTCATCTCCTTCCCAGGGTTGCTGCTTTTATTTCCCCTTTTGGACCTCATTCTCCTGAGGAACAAAGGAAGTGCCTTTTTAGCTGGAATCCTTGGAAGACCACCAAGGACTTTAGCTCATGCAGTACAATTTCGCACCACTTTCAACAATAACAAAAATGCATGACTGAATGGCTCAAAAATGTGGAGTGTTAGAGGCATTCATTTGAGTCTAGGACACTGTCACAACAGACAGACCCAAGCAAATACCTTTAGACAGCCGGTATAGAAGTGGGGTAATCTTTCCCGTCACCCTGGCCTCTACAGTTGTTTACATTAACCTCACCTTCCGTGGGCTATCCTCAGATAATTTTAGCCATCAGGGGAGGCAGTTGTGGGAAAGTCAATGTAATGACTCGGCTTGAGCCTAGGTCTCAATGAATTAGTTGCCAGGAACTTAACTTGGGAGAGATACGTATTTTCTTCAAAGTCAGAGATGATTTTATAGGCAGCAGGTTGTAACGTCTAGTTGACTAGTTCACAAATTGTAGGCTAATCCAAGTTTAAGGTTTTATTTAATTTGGAAAGAATGATGAGGTTTGAATCTAGGGCTTTGAACATGCTGGGCAAGCACCGCTGAGATATACCCTCTCTCTGGAAGTTTTATTCTTGAAAGTCTTGCGCTTGGCCTTCTAAAAGTCTGGGAAGGCTTTGAGAAGATGCCGTATTCTCAAGGACTCTAAGCTATAGATCATACTTGGGACAATCTTGATGTGCTCTTGAGGGTATCAGGGAGTAAGTACATCATAGTGCCAGCGTTTTCAAGTAAGGTCCTGCACTGCACTGCCCGTGTGCCTGACTACAGTACTTTTTCAAATAATGGCCAGTCCAGACTCCATGATCAAAAAGCATCTAAAATAGCTTTCATTGGTCATATATTTTTGAAGTGTGTGCTATGTGAAGTATTCTGTGCTTAGTATCACAGAGGCAACAAGAACGGCAGGAGATGCCCTCCCCCAAAAGAAAACCCCACCTTGCCTGGTAGTAGGCAGATAAGCCATTCACACATACTTGAAATGCACCTTGAAGTGTGATAAGTACTCCATGTGAGTGAAATGAGAAATGTGGGCTTCCCCAAATATCTCAGTGGTAGAACATGTGCTTAGCTTGTGCCAGGCCCTACGTTCAATCCCCAGCACAAACAAACAAAAACACAAATAAGGAGAAGGTATTGGGACTAGAGTATGATTAAAAAGGTAATCATAGTTTGTTAGTATAAAATAATACTAAGTCTTTTTTAAAAGATTTATTTTATGTATATGGGTGTTTTGCTTGCATGTATGTCTATGTGAGGGAACTGGAGTAACAGTTGTGAGCTGCAATATAGGTGCTGGGGATTGAATCTGGGTCTTCCAGAAGAGCAGCCAGTGCTCTTAACCCCTGAGACATCTCCCCAGCAGGCCCAGCTATCTAAAGTTCTAACCATTTTCATTAGGATGTGCAACAACTAGCACATTGTTAACAGCCTGCTGTAATTGCCTTGAGGAGTGCGGCATTCGGTTAGGGATAGTACTGAGTTTGTAAAAGGCCCCCTTTCACAGTGATACGGAATGATACCAAGGAGAACGTTTTTCTGGTCACTGTGATCTTTGAGTCTTTGTTTCCTGTTCCGATCATCTTGATGAGCAAAGCACCCGTGAACGCATACCTACACTTGGAAATGCTTATATATGTATCTCAAAGGATTCTGGAAATTACTTAAGCTATGTTAGGACAGGGAAAACATAAGGAGAGAGATATCTAAGATTTTTATTATAAATAAGACAAGGTGTATTTTAAAGATTTGTGTTTTCCCTTTTCCATTTGGTTAGGTTGGGTTTTATTTATTTATTTATTTATTTTTGAGACAAGGTCTTATGATGTAGCCCTAGTTGTCCTGGAACTCACTATGCAGACCAGGCTGGTCTTGAACTCAAAGAGGTCTGCCTGTTTCAGCCTTCCAAGTGCTTGGGCTTAAAGGCATGCACCAACACCATGACAGGCTTGGGTTAGATTTTGTTATTGACCTTGAGATCTTTTAATCTATTGTCATCATGAGTTTGGCTCCCTGTGTTTTTGTTTGAGAAGGTCTTATTGAGGCCCAGGGTTTGTCTGTCCCTTCAGTGTTACAGCAACAGTCTTCTGGGTGTGCTCAGAAAGAACTTAGTTACTGTCTGGCTTATGCAGTTGAATCCATTTTAGAATGTGTAAATATGAAATGTTTGATTCAGCGTAATTACTATTTTTCTTTTTTTTATTTGATTCACATCAGGTTGCATGCAATTTCAGGATTAGCTGGAGACTAGACTGAGGAAGGAAAAAGGGAATTTTCTGTTTTTTGAACACCAGCGTTAGTCTGAGTCAGTTCAAAGTGTCTTTCTCGAGTTCCCCGGTAACATTAACTATTTTACGTAGCACAAGATTTGCTCCTCTATATGTTCAAAAAATGCATTTGTCCCCTAATAGCTAATAGCTATTAGTGTGCTTTGCTTTGGCTCAGTCCCCTGCTAAGGACTTTGACTCACTTGAAGGCCACTATTATCATACACAGTCAAAATTATCATCACGTTTAATTTGCTCAGAAAAACTGAGATTGGGAAGGATTAAGAAGTACATTCGTGGGGTTGGAAAGATAGACAGCTTAGCAGTTAGGAGCACTGGTGGCTCTTGCCGCGAACCTGTGTTCCATTCCAAGCACAGACATAGGATCTTAAAACCATATGCAACTCCAGTCCCAGGGATCCAACACCCTCTTCTGGTCTCTGAGGCACCAGCTGTATACACAGTGCAGAGGCATAATGCATCAAAACACCAATACACATCAAAGTAAGTAAATAAAGTGATTAAA